TTATCGCCAACGACCAAGGAAACCGTATCACTCCTTCCTATGTCGCCTTTACTGATGAAGAGCGCCTGGTTGGTGACGCCGCCAAGAACCAATACGCCGCGAACCCTACCCGGACCATCTTTGACATCAAGTGAGTTTGACCGTTGGGTTTTCGATAGCTGAAGAGTTTGTGCTAACTTCTGCCAGGCGTCTGATTGGACGCAAGTTCGATGACAGGGATGTCCAGAAGGACGCCAAGAACTTCCCCTTCAAGATTGTCAACAAGGAGGGCAAGCCTGTCGTCAAGGTCGAAGTCAACAAGACCCCCAAGATCTTCACCCCCGAGGAGGTTTCCGCCATGGTTCTTGGAAAGATGAAGGAGATCGCGGAGGGCTACCTCGGAAAGAAGGTTACCCACGCGGTTGTCACCGTTCCCGCCTACTTCAACGACGCCCAGAGACAGGCTACCAAGGACGCTGGTACCATCGCCGGCCTGAACGTTCTCCGTGTTGTCAACGAGCCCACCGCCGCCGCTATCGCCTACGGTCTGGACAAGACTGGTGATGAGCGTATGGTCATCGTGTACGATCTTGGTGGTGGTACTTTCGATGTCTCCCTTCTGTCCATCGACAACGGCGTTTTCGAGGTCTTGGCTACTGCCGGTGACACCCACCTTGGTGGTGAGGACTTTGACCACCGTGTCATGGACTACTTCGTCAAGCAATACAACAAGAAGCACAACGTTGACGTCTCCAAGGACCTCAAGGCCATGGGTAAGCTGAAGCGCGAGGTCGAGAAGGCCAAGCGTACTCTGTCTTCCCAGATGTCCACTCGCATTGAAATCGAGTCCTTCCACAACGGCGAGGACTTCTCGGAGACTCTCACTCGCGCCAAGTTCGAGGAACTCAACATGGATCTGTTCAAGAAGACCCTGAAGCCCGTCGAGCAGGTGCTCAAGGATGCCAAGGTCAAGAAGGCCGATGTCAACGACATTGTTCTGGTCGGTGGTTCCACTCGTATTCCTAAGGTCCAGGCTCTCCTCGAAGAGTTCTTTGGTGGCAAAAAGGCCTCCAAGGGTATCAACCCCGATGAGGCTGTCGCTTTCGGTGCTGCCGTTCAGGGTGGTGTCCTCTCTGGTGAGGAAGGTACCGGCGATGTCGTTCTCATGGACGTCAACCCTCTTACCCTGGGTATTGAGACCACCGGTGGTGTCATGACCAAGCTCATTCCCCGCAACACTGTTATTCCTACCCGCAAGTCTCAGATCTTCTCGACCGCCGCTGACAACCAGCCCACCGTCCTGATCCAAGTTTGTAAGTATTTGCCATTGTGCTTGATTGAAGATATGGAAATATACTGACTGATGTCTCAGATGAGGGAGAACGTTCTCTGACCAAGGACAACAACCTTCTCGGCAAGTTCGAGCTGACTGGTATCCCGCCCGCCCCTCGTGGTGTGCCTCAGATTGAGGTCTCCTTCGATCTGGATGCCAACGGTATCCTGAAGGTTAGCGCCAGCGACAAGGGTACTGGCAAGGCCGAGTCCATCACCATTACCAACGATAAGGGTCGTCTGTCCCAGGAGGAGATCGACCGCATGGTCGCCGAGGCTGAGGAATTCGCCGAGGAGGACAAGGCTATCAAGGCCAAGATTGAGGCTCGTAACACGCTGGAGAACTATGCCTTCAGCCTGAAGAACCAGGTCAACGACGAGAACGGTCTTGGTGGCCAGATCGATGAGGATGACAAGCAGACTATTTTGGATGCTGTCAAGGAGGTTACTGATTGGCTGGAGGACAACGCTGCCACTGCCACCACCGAGGACTTCGAGGAGCAGAAGGAGCAACTGTCCAATGTGGCCTACCCCATCACCAGCAAGCTGTATGGCTCTGCACCGGCGGATGAGGAGGAGGAGCCCAGCGGACATGACGAACTGTAAAATTACTTTAGAGGGATTTACGGAGTTTTGATTTGTTAATTGATTCATTATGGATTTTCCTTTGGGAATAAGCCAGAGTCGCCTCGATGTGATAAAGAGGCAAAATAAATGATACCTCATTGATATGTACTTTCTTTTTGCCTATATCATTCACGTAATATCCAAAGCGGTTGCTCAATTGAGCCCCATAAATCCTGTACTCGCTTATGTAGAATACACCAACAGCGGATGATATCCAGACAGCTCAATGACTGTTCTGGAGGATGTAATCCCGAACCACGTCGACAACGACCTGGTGATCGTGCTCTTGCTTCAACCCACTGACAACAATGACTCCAACCACACCGTCAACGCTCCTGACCCGAACAGGGAACGCACCGCCGTGGATAGCATAGTCATCCGCAGCACCCCCACTCGAGCTCTGGAGCGCGAACTTCTTCACAAACGCCTCCTCCACCTCGGACGCACTGAGCCCCGTACTCGCCAGCATCTTATTCCGCATCAACCAGCTGGACACGCCCCACCGCAGCACGGTATTCCTCTTCCGCCTCACCCAGACCTCGTTGTCGGCGACGGTGCCCGGTTCCGTTGCGCACTGGAAGATAACGTGCGGCTCGGAGCCGCCGGTTAGAGAGATTGAGATCAGGGCCGGTTTGCGCTGGTCGGCGGGGAGGGAGAGGATGCGGTCGCGGAGGGCGAGGCCGAGCGACCAGGCGGTTGTGGAGGTGAAGGAGGGGAAGATGACTGCTGAGGAGGATTCTTGAGCGGCGAGCTCGCGGATCTGGTAGTTTCTTTCTGTTAGTGTGTGTGTTCGTGCAGCATTCATGGCTGAGGATTGACAGTTGCTGGGGCTGACGTACGTCTGTGCTGGTTGGGCCGAGTGGTTTGTCCATTTTGAAGGATCTAAGTTGTGTATTGAGGAGGAAGGTGGGAAATGAGATGGAGAGAAGAGACGATGAAGAAATGAAGTGTATATATGCGGATGATCCGGTGAGTCTATGGAGTATCTACCTAGGTTTCGATTGTCGCATATGGAAGGGATCTGAAATTAGGGAAGGTCCTCCCGCGGCGGGGTCTTCCATGACGTCGACGGAAAGGAGATAGGTTGGCCGATACTTGAGTCGACATCTTCGCTTGAGAATTGAGGATATTATCTGATGAAGAGTACATGGAGATATCAGTTGGAATTTTAGTATACAGTGAATGGTAATTGCTTTAAGGTATGCTGGTAGAACCCACCAATGTCTGTCCAGCAGCATGCATGGACAGCGCACCGTCCCCTCATCTGCAGGTGCTTGACGAACTCCACTCCCACAACACTTCAAATCACCTTGATAGCAGATATAGAAGATACGTATACCTGGTCGGATGCGCCGACAACTCACCAAAAGAGCATGTGATGAGTGCATATCTCGCAAGGTGAAATGTAGCGGCTCCTTGCCTTGCGATACTTGCCTGAAGTCGTCCAAGGAGGCGGACTGCACGTACCTCAAGCCCCCGGGAAGGAGGGGACCAAAAGCCCGACGATATACCAGCAAAGGCAGGTCTGCCAGTGATGGATCGATTGGCGATGCTCCAACGGAGGAAGCTGCTGCAAGCCCCCAGTCGGTCGAGAATCGTCCGGTAAACCGTGCTGAGGTTCACGCTGATGCTGAGGGTGATAAGTCCCTGTCTGCATCAGGCTGGAGAAATGAGACATGCATTCCGAAGAGGGCACTGGTTTATATCGTGCACCTGTACCAGACTTTCTCGTACAGTGTGTGGCCGGTTGTCCACGCAGATACGCTTTTGCAACAGTTGGAGAACGGCAGCTACGATGCGCAGACACTCTGCTTAGTGTTGGCGCTGTGTGCCGCGACGATGGCACAGTTGCAGCTTGCTCCCATCGATGGCAAAGATGAGCAGACGGTAGACAGTGGCCTCCTCAAATTGGAGTGTATGCGACTTCGGGAGCGGAGTGATTACAGGGAGAACCTTGACATCAGGGGTGTGCTTGTTTCGTTCTTTCTGCATGTGTATCATGCAAAGATTAACCAGCGGAAGTCGGCTATGCTGTTTATACAGGAGGCCATCGCGAGTGCGAGATTGTTAGGGCTGGACACGAACGAACGAAATGGTGTCGTCAGGGATGGCGTTGTTGCAAACCAGGAGATTGTGTTTCTTTTGCTGTGGGTGTCTGAGAGGTAGGTCTGTAAGCATAATGAGAACTGAGCTGGTATTGATGCAGCACAGAGGATATGCCATGCATCTTGGTGTGAGACCTTCCTACAGTGATCCAGTTCAGGTTCCCGATGCAGCACAACTGGCAACGAACCCTCATGCGCGGGGGTTACTCGAGCTTTTCAATCTCTTTGTCACATTCGACAAGATCCAGGCACGACGATGCCGTAGTGGCAGTTTGGCTCAAGCTTTATCTGCAGCTAGTCTGGCTGAAACAGAAACAGCACTCTCGCTCTTAGCCTTCGACTCGGACGACCAGGCATCCACACGGCTGGCGGACTGTTACATCACCAGAGAATGGATGAGAACTATTGTCTGGCAGGAAGCACTATCTCGGCATCTGTTGTCCTCAACATCTACCACCGAGGTGATGACCTTTCGATTCCCTGTAGTTGTCGGTCGTGATCTGTTAATGTCCCTGCAAGGACTGTCTGCGACAGACTTGCTGCCTTTGGGGCGGGACCAGGTGAGTCTCATGTAGACTACTGCAAGAAATGTTGTCAAATAAGAGAATGACGTTAGTATAGCTATTGAAATGTTTTGAGGTTGCCAACTCTCTGGCAGATACCGTCATCTATACTCCCCCAACCTCGTTCTCGAACGCCCTTCAGGTCGGGCCTCAAGACTTCCTACACGCTTTGTACCAAAAGATTCTGCCATTTCTGGAGCATGATCTGATGCTGAAAACAATTCTTCGTGCGAAAACAGCCGAGGCTTTGGTGATGGCCCCTGCTCGTTTGAGTGTCGGGCTTGTTGTGAGGCTGGATGTGGAAGAAGAGATTATCTCAGAGCAAGCTGACCACTTTCATTGATCGAAGTATCATTCTTACTTAGCAGCCAACGATGAGAACGAAAGACAAAGATCACTCTGCAATCTGGAGGACGATTCGTCCTGAAATATCACCTTTCTCCATTTCCTCGTACACTTGAGGCAGATCCCTGAATGGCCGTACTCGAATTTCTGGTTTGACCATTCCCCGACGGACCAACTCAACCGCTTCCATACACTCTTTGAGCGAACCAACCAGATTGCCAGTGATCCTGAGCCCTTTGATGACAATGGTGCAGATGGGGGTCTCCAGCACAGGACGCCCTGGGGGAATGCCGACGCAGCTCAGAGTGCCACCGACGCGCAGCATGTCGCATGCATGGGCAAAAGCTTTTGCATTGCCGGCTGTCACAACTACAGCGTGTGCCCCCAGTCCAGTGATTTCGTGAACACGCTGCACACGGTCGGTAGATTTGAAGTCGATAAACTCGACAGCACCAAGTCCGAGAACAAAGTCTCGTTTATCTCCAGCGTCGACCCCGATAACCAGTGCGCCATGGGCTTTTGCGTATTGGACTGATACAGTATCAGCTGGCCGTCTTGTGGTTTGACGAGAGAACAATCTTACCCGCGAGGTGTCCGAGGCCGCCTCCTGCACCCACTACAACGAGCCAGTTTCCCGCTCTGATGTTGGCGTTGAGAACGGCCTAACATGTTAGAAGACCACGGAACGGATGAGGGCTTGCCAACCTTGTAAGCCGTCACCCCAGCGCATAAGACCGGGCCAATGACTTTCGGATCGATGTCGTCCGGCAGGATTGTCAGATAGTCCGCGTCGAGGGCAATGTACATTTGGAAGCTGCCATCCTCGTGGTGCAGATGATTGGTGCTTTTGATGCAATACTGTTCTGTCCCAGCGAGGCAGAACTCGCATCGTCTGCAGATACGACTGGCGAAACGAATGCCCACCAGGCCTCCAACTTTCAAGTCAGGTCCGCAACCAGGACCGAGTGCCACAATCCGTCCGACTCCTTCGTGACCACCAACGTGAGGACGCTTGATGTTCGTGATGGGATTTCCGTCGGCACCGGCTGCAGTTCCATTCTTGGTGTGGAGATCTGCATGCTTAGGAGAATTAACTCGAGTTGAGACTGGCGAACTCACCACTCTGACAAACACCGGTGTAGAGGACTTTTGCCAGCACCTCGTTTTGACCCGGGACAGGAACTGGATACTGATCGTCAAATTCCACCTTGCCTCCGAGTTCGGAGACAAGAGCTACAGTTTGAGTCTGTGGGATTTGCATTGTTAAGAATGTAGATACAGAGTTTGTTTGGAGCAAGCCTTCAGTCTTTCAGTCTGGATACTTTGCCTGCCTTATGAGGGTAATAAATAGCCTAGTCATATGGGACATGTAGCACAAGTCCACAACATCAAATTCATCAATCATGTATAAGCATTATAGCAATCCTGTTCACTTTGTTGGCATTGTTGCATTTTATATTTCTCCCATTGGCTCCTTGTCCTGCATTAAAGAGAATCAACGTGAAAGGAGGCCAGAGCGTGTCTTCATCACCGTCGATGGTTTGCGTAACCTCGAGACGGGCTTTGCAATTCTCCGAGTGATGACAAACATGATGTCTTCACTCTTCAGGGAGTTCAGTCTTCACCTCAGCGAGGGCGCTGTCATGTGCAGAGAATAGGGTACCCGCTATCTACTCTGTCCTCCCTGGGATTAGACCGGTATGTTATCCATTGATCAATAAGCTTGAGTCCTGACGACTTCCTGTCTCGGTTCCCCGCATTCAAACAGGCGTAATTATAGCAGGCTAATCTGCGCTAACTAGTAACATCATTAGCAGGATCTCAATGTCTCACTTCTCACTTCGCACCCCAGAGTTCCGTCTCCGCCTCCTGCACTCCACACATCGTGTCTCTATGGAGCCAGTCAATTCCAGAAATCAGTTTTCCTCCAGCCAACCTGGGCATTTCTCCGAGGTATTTCTCCGAGCATATGACATACCACAGTTTCATTGCATGGCTCTGCATCGGCCAATGATGATTGTTCATTCACTCTCCCTTCCTGGCTGAGTGCTGAAGTGACAAGAGAGATCGAGATGCTCTGCCGCTGCCGAAGATCACCCGCTTATCGACAAAACCGCTCGCTGACCTGAAGAAGCCGTTCATGCCTCCTTTCTGACTCTCTGTATGCTGCTAAACTCTAAACTCCTTCCCTCGACAAATTTCGGTACCGTTGAATTCTCGACCAGAATGACGATGGCATCTAGCTTTTTCATTTCCCTCTGTTTTGGATACAGGAATACGATTGATGGAAATTCCCAGAGTGGCTAGCTTTGGCATAGGCGTGGTTTTCTGGGCGAATCCGTACAGGGGACAACTCCGGCGGGATGAAGCTCCCTCCGCATTTTCGATACTCTTCCTCGTTGGAAGGAACACTTTCGTCTAATCATGATTCGATTGAAGCGTGACGAAGTGAGCATCGCAATGGCCAACTATAAAACCGGGGTTGCGGCAGTCTACAGGAACACTTTTGACAACTCAAACCCGTTAAGCTCGCAAATTCCTGACTGACAATGAGATTCCTTCGCCTTCTCGGCCTCGCGCATCTGGCCCTGGCCGCGAGTGTCCCTCGGGCCACCATCCCAACATACAATGCGGTGACCGTCTTCAGTCCCCCGTCTGACTACAACGTCCCGCGCGTCCTGTACGCGCGCAGCCTGGAGCTGCCCAACGGGGACCTCCTAGCCACCTGGGAGAACTACTCCAAGGAGCCCCCACAAGTGTACTTCCCCGTCTACCGGTCTCGTGACCACGGACGGACCTGGAAGGAGCTCTCGCAGGTCCACGACCAGGTGTATGGCTACGGATTGCGCTACCAGCCGGAGCTGTACAGACTTCCCGAACGCATTGGGTCGTTCCCCGCCGGGACGATCCTGATGGCGGGCAGCGCCATTCCCACTGATCTGTCGTCGACGCACATTGAGCTGTATGCGTCGCACGACTCCGGTGTGACGTGGAAGTTTGTGAGCCATATTGCTGCTGGCGGGAGGGCTGTTCCCGACAACGGGTTGACGCCTGTGTGGGAGCCTTTCCTGATGGCTCGGTAAGTCTCCGTCGGCTGATAAGTCATTCCACTTTCTAACCCGTCTGTGACAGTAATGGCAAGTTGATCTGCTACTATTCCGACCAGAGAGCCAACGCCACCCACGGCCAGAAGATGGTCCACCAGGTTACGACGGACCTCAAAAACTGGGGTCCTGTCGTTGACGATGTGTATGTCTCCCCATCACTGTGGCCGAACGAGACTGACCTGTAACAGAGCATACCCAACCTACACCGACCGTCCCGGCATGCCCGTGGTGGCCAAGCTCCCCAACGGCAAATACATCTACACCTACGAATACGGCTCCTTCTTCGGCACCAGCAGCTACTCCTTCCCCGTCTACTACCGCATCTCGTCGGACCCGGAGAACTTCGCGTCCGCTCCACACCAGCGCCTTGTCACGAACACGGGCTATGTTCCCACCTCGTCGCCTTATGTCGTCTGGACCCCGTACGGCGGCGTCAACGGAACCATCATCGTGAGCGCATATTCGTCCAGCAGCGTGTTCATCAACCAGGCGCTGGGTGAGGGCCCGTGGAGGGAGATCCCTACGTCTGAGCCGAACGCTTATACCAGGTCGATGCGGATCCTCAATGAGGACCCGAAGATGCTCTTGATCAATGGCGCTGGTGTCTTGAATGGGCAGAACAACAAGGTTACTGTGACCTTGGTGAACCTGGAAGAAGCATTGCGTTAGCACTCGGTGGAGTCTCAGCAGTGTAGGATTTGACTAGAGGTAAAGATCAAAGATTGAGCGGATGATGGGGTAAATGCAGTTTATAGACAATCAGATGAACTACGACTTATTCCTCTCATGCAACAAGTATCTGCTTGCGATGGCAGCATATCTAACTAACAGATAGTAGTAAGCTGTAACTCCTTCAACTACACCTCTGTATAGATGCTATTAAAGACACATAACAGAGCTATTAGGCCAGGCCCTAGGCAGAAGATGGGTTCCATCCGCTAGCATATAACATGCTCTATGAAATCACCACTATGACTTTTTGGCGCTGTTGTTAGTAGCAGCCTGGAATACTTCCTTACAAGGACATTTGATTTTATTCCAGATTACTGTCAATATATGACATGTGCATGTCCATGGCAGCCCGTATGAGACCTCAGTGCAGCTCGATCCTGCTGGATCCTCCGCATACTCTAATCCATATGGGCACAAACTAATCGGATACATTTGACATTGAATTTCATGCGATACACGACGCTTGAAATCCTGTTCAATAGAGAGGTATACTAGACAGAAATAACCAATTGGTACAATACAGGCAAGACCTTGTACCCCATGCCATGAGTCATATATTGATGGCTTAGAACCCACGAACTAACTCGTTAAATCAAATCATCTCACTCTCGGAGTCGGAGTAATCAGTCTGACCCTGGCCTATATAATAAGCAGCTATTACATGGCGCTAACTTTCTAGACTTAAGAGCATAGCTCCAACACATTCCCCTAGTCGCTTTCACCCCTGTCTTTCATCCCAGCACAAGGACTCATTGGATGTTAGTTTGGTAGACACAGGTCAAAGCTCAACGGCTTAGCATTATCTAGCCTTCATAAGATGTGTCCACACTATCTGCGAGCAGGGAATTCGACCGGTCCGTCCGTCCTTGCGCAAGAACCCGAAAATCGGCTTTGGGAATCACGCCGGAAGCCGAATAGAATGGCCGTGTCTTACTTTCGGATAGGGTTTACTTAGTTAAGGGTCCCTGTCGAGCATTCAAACCATCTGGAATCACCCCTACAAACAAACCACCTGGCGGTCATCCCAAGTGATTGAAATATCCTGCAGCACGATAAAAATGCCAACCGGTGTGTCGTTCAGTCCCGATCAAATGCCAGACCTCTCCGACAAGGTCATCCTAGTAACTGGCGGTTAGACCTGCATGGTAGTCCCCCGGAATGAGCGTTTCGCGTTTCCCTAACGTATCAATAGGAACAGCCGGTCTAGGGGCAGCGACGGTGCTCCATCTGGCGAAACACTCACAGCCGCCCGCACGCATCTACATCAGCGGACGGAACGCAGAGCGCGCCGACGCGCTCATCAAACAAGTAGCCGACTCCAACTCTCCGACGCTTGTCTCGTTCCTCCCCTGCAACCTGGCATCCCTCGCCTCGGTGAACGAAGCAGCGGAGACAATCCTCAGGCAGGAATCCCGGCTCGACATCCTAATGTGCAACGCAGGCATCATGGCGCAGGCGCCCGCGCTGACAGTGGACGGCTACGAGGTGCAATTCGGCACCAACCACCTGGGCCACGCACTGCTGATCCGGAGGTGCCTGCCCCTGCTACTGCGGACAGCAGAGGAACACGGCGACGCGCGCATCGTCGTCCTCACGTCGCTGGCCTTCCGGATGCACCCCAGCGCCGGGATCGTCTTCTCCGACTTGAAGACCGCCCAGCATCTCCGCGCCCTGGGCCTTGGCCCCTGGATCCGCTACGGGCAGAGCAAGCTCGCGAATGTCCTGTATGCGCGCGAGCTGGCCCGTCGGTATCCGGCCGTCACCTGCGTCTCGGTCCATCCGGGGGTGGTGAGCACGGGGATGGTCGAGAACCAGAGCTGGGGGAACCGCGCGTTTGTCTACTTGACGAACCTTGGGAAGGTGATGAAGCCTGCAGAGGGGGCGTATCACCAGCTCTGGGCGGCGACGGCGCGGAAAGAGGCGTTGGTGAACGGGCTGTGTTATGAGCCGGTCGGGATTCCATCGAAGCTTGATAGGGTTGCTGGCGACGATGCTTTGGCAGCGAGGCTGTGGGAGTGGACAGAGGAGGCGTTGGCTCATTATATGACTAGATCGTCTGGGTCGTCTGGGGTTTGTTGATCTTCTTCTTCTTAGCAGGGCGACCTACTATGCGTCAGAGTTCTTGCCATATGGTTAGTGCACGCTGTGATTCCTCAGCCCGCTGAGGAGTCATGTGAACAACAGCGCTCTTATATATTCTTTAAGACATACTATACTACCCAGGTATAATTTCGCTCTGCATTCAAGCTCAAACTATCACGTTAATCAAGTATGGTATAAAGAGTAGAAGCAAAAAAGCAGGCTAGTCAATGACACGTATACCAGGAGACCCAACCAAGCATACATCTATCTTGATGTCTTCCACCACTGACTAGAATACATGTACAGTTAACCGCATGCGGCAGTCATTTACATCAAGGACGCTCCAACATTAACCTACAGCTCTGCATAGATGACGTATTGCAATGATACTGGACTATTTAGATGCGGACTGCGTCCCTCCTCTCATAAGTTCTAAACTTAATCATTCTTCTGATCTGCACAAGCGACAAATACGCAAGAAGAAAATAATGCCTAAGCAACTGGTGGGATATCCTATTTATTGTTTGATTTGTAATTTACTAATAAATACAAGACATTCGATGTCCGCTACGACAATGAGCTTGCTCATCAATATTATGGGGATGGGGAAAAGTTAGCTAAACTGTACACCTTCCCACATCCCCCCCCATCAGATCATCATACCTAATAATTAAATGCAGGGTCCGCAATATATATAACGACAAAGGTCTCACCATTCCAGATGAATTTGACAGCACATCGAGCTATCCACCTATACACTTTATGCAGTGCGTATACTACTGAAAGATAGTAGCTAAATGCTAATGAAAGCAGGGTGTCTGCCCCAGATGGGACTGATGTTGGGGATTTAAAGAATGTGCCAATCCCTGACGGCCTGAGTATCGAGATAATAGACTTCACAAGCGATGAGTGAGCCAGTGTAATGTCTTTTGACAGGTTGACAAGATGTGTTTATCTAATAGGGAGGTGCATACGTGGCTTGCAGGTTTACATTAATTTACCATGTTTGATCTTCAGTCAGAATTACCTTTCAAGTCATTTTCTCCCATATAGATCGCCTTTTAAAAGATTTCAGGAAGGTGGTCACATTGTGCCTCGAGCATGAGGAGTGATGCTTGGCGGCCTTTCAATTCCCTTCACCCAAGTCGATATTTGGCATTCAACAATCCCGAGCCCAATCCTTAGGTGAGCAGGTAAGACATTCTGACATTAAGATGTGAAAGATCGCTCCTTGGACTGTGTCTACTCAGCGAAGTCCCGGAAGCTTGAGTGGTCTTGCAATGGTCCCATCTTCGCCGTCACATAACCCGTTACGTACCGTGCCAAGTTACGTGCAGCCTCCGACTCCGTGCAGCCTCCGACTCTTGCTCAGAGATGAAACGGAACATCGGCGCCAACTCATTAATAAGGGTGGCAGTCAAAGGGGACGTTTCCAGAGTGTTCTGAAATTTCTGGAAGGAAAGCAACTTCAAGGGTCCCCATTTGTATTTAGCTGCATGAATGTAGATCCAAGAGTGGATGAAGAGTGTAGGTAAGATGTTTCAGTTGAGAAACATCTTGAGTATGGATATTTATATTCGTAACAAGGGAAGAGCCCTCCGCATGCTCTGGAAGTCATTATATAGAAGCAGCAGCTTATCCTTTACATATGTCAAAATGCCACAGATAAACCAGAGGATGCACTTGTTGATCATGCTCTATAATTGTAATGAATTATTGCCGGCTGCATTGTATTGGCATCCTCCCCGGGTTCGCCTGAGCGTATCATTTGCGGGGTACAACGAAGATCATCAAGATTCATCCGCGTGTCGTCTCGAGGTCAAAGAACGCTTACTAACTGGCGAAGACCTGCATGCTCAAAAGGAATCTATGATGACGACTCCATCTTTTACAGCTACGATGCATTGACCCGTCACGTCATCGCGACCATGATTTGCCCATCATCAACCAACCAACCGACTCAATCTTAATATCAGTCACCAATCACTTTCTTCCTCACACTAGCTAGAGCTACGGATAATTCTACAAAGGATATCATACATCACGAGTCAGTCAATAAGCATAGCCGAGCGGGTCGGGACTCGGCTCCAAGCAAGCTTGCTGACTCGCAACGCGATAGACAAAGAAATCAGCCGTCTGGGAATGGACACGAACCGGCACTAAACCGCGTGGCATCAGGAGTCGGTCACCTATCAGGATGTCGAAACGGCGGGATCATCCGTAAGCTTTCCTGTTCAGCGAGCTTTGTGTTGCGGGTGTCACCTCAGATCACGCAACGGCAGGGATGATTGGCATGCAATGCATTGACCTTGCGTTTATCTTTACGTTGGTATAAGTCGAGAGTTCATCGCTCACCGTTTTTCCTGCAGCTTGTCTCTGAAAGTAAAGAGGTGAGCGACATGGGCAAAAGACTTGGCCTGCTTCGGGCCATTTATCTGGTGTCGGCCAGTTGCATGGGCTCGTTTGCGTTTGCGTTTGACACCGGGGTGATCAGTGCGTTGCTCCCTATCAAGAAAAAAGAAAGAAATCGGCCAGCTAATTGACAGGCGGCGTTCTCACGCTGGAATCCTTCCAGAAGGACTTTCGATACACTCAAGCGCAGAAAACCACCGTCAACTCAAATGCGGTGTCTATCCTGCAGGCCGGCGCGTTTTTCGGATGTTTCTTCACCACACCGATAGCCTCGCGGCTAGGCCGCCGGACCGGGTTGATCATCAGCTCGCTGGTGTTTAGTCTCGGCACAATCCTGCAGGTCATCAACGCGCACACGCTGGGCACTTTTTACGCAGGCCGCGTGATTGCCGGGGTTGGGATCGGGGCCGCCACGGTGCTGATCCCGATGTATGCGGCGGAGATGTCGCCCAAGGAGTTCCGCGGGCGGCTGGGGGCGTGTTTCCAGTGGTTCTTTGCGTGCGGCGTGATGGTCGCGTACTGGGTGACGTACGCGGTGTCCAAGGACCAGCCGTCGGCGACGAAGCAGTGGCAGATCGCGCTGGGGCTGCAGCTGCTGCCGTCGACGCTGCTGCTGGCGGGCATGTGCACGGTCAAGGAGAGCGCGCGGTGGCTGGCGGCCAAGGGCCGGACTGAGGCCGCCTGGGAGTCGCTGCGGTGGGTGCGCGGCGGCGACGAGACGGCCGAACTCCAAACGGAGTTTGACGAGATCCTGACGGGCATCGAGGAGGAGGCGCGCGTGCGGGAGCACTGGACCTGGCGCGAGCTGCTGCTGCCGGCGAACCGGTACCGCATCTTCATTGCCGTCACGATCCAGCTGTGTGCGCAGCTGACGGGCAACACCTCGCTGGCGTACTATGCGACTCAGATTTTCGCGGCGGTCGGCGCAGGCGCCTCGGCTAAGCTGGTGACGGGATTCTTCGGAGTGGTCAAGGTGGTCGGGGTCAGCGTCTTCCAGCTGTTTGTCATGGATCGGATCGGGCGCCGGGTCCCGTTCATGGTCGGCGCCGGCGCCATGGGCTCCTTTATGCTCATCATCGCGTGTGTGCTGGCGACGCACCCGACCAAGGCGTCGTCGACGGGGGCCGCCGAGACTGGAGCGACGCACGCGGGCATCGCGATGATCATCATGACTTATGCCGAGGCATTCAGCTTCAACATGTCCTGGGGGCCACTGCCATGGCTTTACGTAGGAGAAATCTTCTCGAGTCGCACGCGCGAGGTGGGAGTGACGGTGGGGGCGGCGTCGCAGTGGCTGTTCAACTTTATGATGTCGCAGGTGACGCCGCACGCGATCGAGAATATTGGCTGGCGGATGTTTCTGATGTTTGCCATTTTCAACTATGCTATTATCGCGTATTCATGGTTCTTTTTGCGGGAGGTATGTCGTTTTCCCTTTCGGCCTCTGCTTTCCTCTGCTAACCTCCGTAGACATCCCGCCATTCTCTGGAAGAAATGCAGAATGTGTTTGGGGGAGGGCCTCGGCAAAAGGGCCGCGACGACGACGAGGCGGAGCCTTCAGTCAAGACGGCTTGAGTCTTCGGTTCAGGAGGGTCTTGATTGGAGGATGAAGAGCAGAATTTTCTGCTGTTGAAGCTGCACGTAATGGTATCCGCTTATACTTTGGCTGGAGGTTTATAGTTCTGAACGTGGCGTAGGCCGGTATCACATGCATTGCAAGGCAGCAGCAGAAGAAGACAAGAGTCATGGACTCGTGTTTCGCTTCTTTGACTGACTCAATTGAAGGTTAAGACTCTACTCGTGCGACTGTCCTGATACCATCCATAAGGCTAAGTCTCACCGAGACAGATCAGCAGAACGGATCGACACCAGACTCTTGACATTGTTCTTGCGATCCTCTCCAGTCCACTCGTAGACTAGATACTCTGTACGAAGCCGAAAAAAAAAAGGAATACGAACGCCAAGCAACGGTGCTATCCGTAAGTGCCCTAGTACAGCTCGTCTATCTGCCAGGGACGGAGCCATTTGAGGCATTTACATTGGTTCCTCTCCCCGGTCTTCCCTTTCTCCGCAGTGGCAAATTTGTTCGTCCCCGTTTCCATAGGACCATTTTCCGTTCCCCCGTCCGTGGTCTCTGGCATGATGCTTGACTGTCCGATACCGATCGATGTTCAGTCAAGAAGGTTGCATTAAAGTAGACAAAGTATCCTGATCGTGCACTTTTATCAAAGAAGTAACTATAAGAGATGGGCACAGACAGCACAGACAGCACAGACAGCACGGGTCTGTACAGACTCGAGGCAGACAGCAAAGACCACCATCCGGCCTCTGACCCTTCCTGACCCTGTTTCCGGGCCGGTTCCATGGTAGTTTTGCCTGGGAGAGTCTCCGCGGGGGAACATTTCTAGACCAATCGCGTGGATTATCCCCAGGACGGTGATTTTGCCGATTGCTTCGGCCACGGCTCTTTGACCTTTTCTTAACCTTTGGCCGGTCTCTTCTCATGTCCCCCCTCCTGGGGACTCGAGCGTTATTCCAGCCATGTGGATGTGGCTGTGGCATTATTATATCTCGCCTCGTGGGTCTGGGTCTGGTCTTGTCTTCGGGATCTGGTCTTGCCTTCGAGTCAAAGGGTCTAGACAGTAGCCGATACTTTTCTAGCTAGCTACCCCATATTTCTCCAGTTCTACGGTTCTGACCCAGAATTTGCACCCCACAGACCGTTATATTTGCATTGCGTCCCACGAGGAACTTTTCTCTGACCTGCAGCTCGCCTCCATTCTTTACCTTTTCTTTTCACCGAATACTCTCCGCTCTTTCACCGCTGCGTCCCTTCCTTTCCATTCTCCTGTTGATTCTCTATTTTATTGGCCCGCATCAGCATGCAACTGTGACCAATGTCGACGTCGGATCGCATCTCGCGACCCACCAATCCCGATGGCCTCGTGCTTGAGGCCTGGGGCCAGGGCCTCATGCTGGGCTGCCTGCTGGTCATGGCCTCCGTGACCTTTGTCAACATGAAGAAGCACATCCTGCTCCACAAATTGATTCTCGTGGAGTTGCTCCTGGCCATGCCCAATGGCACCTTCATCTTCCCCAAAGACCCCGTCTACGGGTGGTACCAGAGCGTCACGGCCATCGGGCTGAATGTCTCGTGGAGCTTGCACAATGTGATCGCCTGGATGAAGAACCGCCCGTTCATGTCGAGAAAGGTGTCGCTGTTCTACATCGGGACCGTGATCCTGGCGCAGCCCTACTGGGTGCTGGAGATTTATGCCAATTTCGCCTATTTCAACAACTACAATAAGATCTTTCTGACGACGAGGCCACTCGAGCCTCTTTTCCGGTTCGCCTTCCCTCCCTATTTTTTTTTTTTTGTCAGGGTTGAAGCTGATTGAGTAGTGACCCCTGGTGGATCTTCACCACCTGCTCCCTCTTCTACACCATCAAACGCGAATACAACTTTGGGATCATCGAGCTGGTCAGCGTCTCGCCGCGGTTTGGCATCATGCTGGCGTCCATGTGTCTCTCCATTGCTTTCATGATCGTCGACACCTGCAGCGTCCTCAACGTGTTTAGCCATTCGTCCTTGCCGACGGGCATTGAGCCATTCTGGAAGGTATTTTTTTCTCTGCCATTTTCATAAGGTCTTCTGCTGACCGTACAGCTGTCATTTATCTTCAAATGTCTCTGCGACACCGTCATCCTCGACGACTTCAAAACCGCTCTCGATCGCATGCGCGCCTACTGGTTTCGGAAACGGAACATGGGCGGCGAGATCCTGTTACATACCGGCGAGCATCCCCACCAGCATCATCGCATGGAGGGTAGCGGACGGTTACGCCCGACGGATGAGGACATTGAAGCTCTGACTGGGAATGGGGGCGATGGGCGCAAATCGGAGTCACTCCCAAAGGTATATACGCGCGAGCATGTCCGGGGGTGAGCGTAGGAGTATAATCAGGTATCACTATAATGATGTATATACGTACATGATATAATCGAAAATATTTTCTTCCATAATTCTAGAATATCGCCAGAGGTGCACGTACCCCTGTATTGACTTCCTCGATCAGGCAGCTTCTCACGTGCCACCGCTGCTGATTTCTGCAAGACAATCAATTACTATAAACCTCAAACAAGATTAAGCATTTGAAACAGAGGCCTGTCAATTCTCCGTCGCGGTCCGTCGGCAGAAGAGTCGACCATGACGAAACGCTGGTGTCGATCTTTTCCTGTATGCTCTGATGTTTCCAGTTGGCGACACCCCGGTTGGGCCTAGTGCGGCTGGTGGATCTGCCCAAGTGTTGTTCCTTGCGCCGCTGGAATAATTGTTGATGATCTTTGAATTGAATTTGATACCCTTGTCAATCATTCTATTCCACACCCGAATCAATGAGTTCCAGGTTCCTGATGAAAGTAGCGCTGTGCTTGGTCTAGTCTACGATTGCTGGTATCTGCTTGCGCGTCAAGGCCATCAAAACCTGGCGATTCCCGCTTGGCCTGCCAATCTCCATCCACCAAGATCCATCAACTGGCTCCAGTGGAGATCATGATTCCGTGCAGGTGGCCGATCTGATCTCAGGTTGATTTTTGCTGTTTGTCGGCCCCTGTTGATCCTCACCTCTGCCTTCAGTGCTATATCTACGTCGCATACTACCACTCCCTGTTTGCTTTGTTTTTCTACTCTGTCCGACCTTTGTCACTCTTTGTATACATACACGTTCATTCTGTCTATAGTTTTGCCGTTGAAATGCCAGGCCGAGGGTTACTCAGGGTACTCAGCGGGTGCACCCTACTGTCACTCGGTGCGGTCACTGTCGTGGCAGTAGATACCTGGCCGTACATGACCCTGCAGACTGCTCCATACCAGCCTCCGCAGATCCAAGTCACCAAGAGCGGCACCACCGACCCGGGCTACCTCTTTGTTGGCCCCCGTGGCAACAAGCCGGCAGGCACGGCGGCGTTGATCTACGACGAGGACGGCAACCTGGTCTACCAGGGCCCGGACCAGGTGACGGCCAATTTCCGGGTGCAGCGGCTGTTCAACCAGGATGTCATTACCTTCTGGGCCGGCAACATGACCGACCTGGGCTTTGGGTATGGCTCCGTCCACATTCTCGACAATACCTACCGGGAGATCTACACGGTGACCCTGCAGGGAAACTTTGAGACGCCGGACCACAGCGTGCCGGATTCGTACATTGACCTGCACGAGAGTCACATCTCGGCCCGCAATACGTTGCTGGTCACGGCCTACAACGTCACCCAGCAGTCCCTGACGTCGATCGGGGGCACGCCGGAGGATTACATGCTGGACAGTCTGTTCTACGAGATCGACATTGCTACCAATGAGGTCGTGCATTCGTGGAGCGCCCTGGAACATGTCGACCAGATTGCCTTGACGGATTCCAAGCAGGGGATTGACGACGATCATGGAACGCGTGAGCAGCCGTGGGATGCGTACCATATCAACTCGGTAGAACTGTTTGACCAGGGGTATCTCATCTCGCTGCGCCACTACTGGTCGGGCTATTATGTCCATAGCAATGGGACTGTCATGTGGCAATTTAGTGTACTCCGCCCTTCACTCCCCCTTTGATGCGTTTTGATACTGACAAACCAGGGCGAACTGGGCAAGGGCGACTTCCAACTGGACAAGGCCGGCGTGTTCTCCTGGCAGCACGACATGCGCCTCTACAACCAGACCGAAACCGGCATGATCCTGAGTCTGTTCAACAACGCCAACACCCCTACCGAGACTGTTGCGCCGTCGACGGGTTTGAGCTATGCGGTGGATCTGGTCAACCGCACGGCGAAGACACTTCGCACGCTGAGCGACAGCAAAGACGTCATCCACAGCGTTAGTCAAGGCAACTACGAACTGCTCGGCCCGTCGGGACATGTCGTGCTGGGCTACGGCTCCATTGCCAAGATCAAAGAGTTTGACGCCAACAACAAGCAGGTCCTCACGGCGCAGTTTGGCACCGACAACGAGGTGGCGTCGTACCGCGGGTACAAATGCGCCTGGAAAGCGACGCCGTTCTGGGCGCCGGCGATTGTCGTTCGTCGGGTGTCGGGTGATTCTGCACAGGTGTTTATGAGCTGGAACGGGGCGACCGAGTATGACAATTGGGCTGTCATGGCGGCGGATTCGTTGGACTCTGTCAACCCTACGATTGTCACCACCTTTAAGCGCACTGGCTTTGAGACGTCTGGTACGGTTCGGGGATTAAAGACACCATATCTCCAGGTGGTGGCTCGTCGGGGCGATATTCCTCTTGGCATGTCGCCTATTGTCAGTTTTTAGCAGCCATCTTCACTGCTGTACATTACATATACACTCGCATATTCACATACTATTAATAGATTAGCATAGCGTGACTATAGACTTATTACTCAATACGCTGCCTGATGCAATGAGTGCTCGGGTGTACATCGTTGCACTATCGGGTGTACCACATACACAGCTCACTCGAATACAGAGTAAACATATGATCATAGCTGAATACTAGATATATATAGCTGGCCAGACCATCACCTCAACCTAACCATCAACACCAACACATCAACGATCAACAGAACTAGAATCGAAACAGAAAATGCATCTCAACATCCCTCTCACTCTGACCCTCTGTCTCCCCCTCGCTCTGGCCCTGCCTCCGAGACCCTTGACCATGACCATGATGAACCCAAAGATCCCCAGATCAACAAACCAAACCCTGGGCCACGCCACCATCCACAACACCTGCCCAAGCGAAATCTATCTCTGGTCCGTCGGCTCCACCATCGCCCCGCAACTCACCCTCCCCCCAAACACAACCTACACCGAGCCATACCGCCGCGATCCCGCCAGCGGCGGCATCGCGCTGAAGCTCACGCGCGTGCAGAACGGGCTGTATACCGCGGCGCCGCAGATGGTGTTTGCGTATAACCTTGTGCAGCAGCAGATATGGTACGATCTGTCGGATGTGTTTGGGGATCCGTTCTATGGAAGTCGGGTTCGGGTGGAGTATCGCTCGCTGTCTGGAGAGGAGGGGGGCGATGAGGAAGAGAAGGGGATTGAGTGGGTGGATGGGGTGTCGCCGGGGGGAAGTATGGTTAGGGTTGCGGATGCGCAGGGCGATTTGCTTTTGACGGTCTGTTAGTCGTCTTTAGAGTGTTCTACGAGATGATATGTGGGTGAAGATAAAGTGAGGGTGGTGGTGGTGTTGTGAGTGGATGAGGTGAGATGGTAATAGGGTAATCTATGTTGTTCTATTTGCTGTTTTGTGCTATGCAGTAGTAATTCAATGTGTTTTATTAGATTGAACCTGATGAATGTAGTGTCTATATGGAGTAATTGATCCCCACATTACCCTCGGCATTTATGTCAGTACAGAGTTGTACCAGAGCAGAATAGAGGGGTTCTGGCACTGTCGTTGTACAGTAAGCTTACTCTACGGACTGTATCTGAGCTGAAGAATAGATCGAGAATGCTATTCCTATTCGCTCGTTTGGCCGAGATATCTTCTTACATTCCGACCTGGGATCCTCGTGGATTATGCATTCCTCGGGCAGAAGGCCGAGGCTGACTATGGAGATCCCCATTATATTCCCCGCACTTTGCCATCTCACTCCTTTGTTCTTCACCACAACAATATCATCATCAACACAACTCCTACCGTAATTCTAAGATGACTTCTATAAGAGTGGCGCCGTCGGCCGCCAATAGAGCCCTGAATCTCCTCCGCACAGTGCAGTATACTCATCCGCCCTCCTGTCCGTGCCACTCCAACCCCAATCACCACCATCACCTACCATCCAGCCATGTGCGTCGTCTGGCCACCCCCGTGGATCCCTCGCGCCAGAAAGAGTACGCCTTTGAAATGGCCGCCTCGAGTATCCGGTTCGGTCCGGGCGCGACCAGGGAGGTCGGCATGGACTTTGCTAATATGAAGGCCAAGCGCGTGTGTATCGTGACCGACCAGAACGTGGCTAAGCTGGATGCCATGAAACAAGCGGTGGAGGGTCTGACCAAAGAGGGCATCGAATTCACCGTGTACGACAAGGTGCGCGTGGAGCCAAAGGATAGTTCGTAAGTTGCAGACGTGCAGTCCTCGAGAGTCAGGCGCCCTGCTAACTCCAGCAGAGTGAAAGATGCCATTGCCTTTGCAAAGCCATATAACCCCGATGCTTTTCTGGCTGTTGGCGGCGGCTCCGTTATCGACACGGCCAAGCTGATGAACCTCTACACCGTCTTCCCCGAGGCCGACTTTCTCGACTTTGTCAACGCCCCCCTGGGCAAAGGACTCCCCGTCACCAAGGCCCTGCGGCCGCTGGTGGCCGTGCCTACCACCGCAGGCACCGGGTCCGAAACCACCGGAACCGCCATCTTCGACCTCGTGTCGAAAAAAGCCAAAACAGGCATCGCCCACCGCAATCTCAAGCCGACGCTGGGCATCTGCGACCCGCTCAACACCCGCACCATGCCGTCCGCCGTCCACGCCTCCTCCGGCCTCGACGTCCTCTGCCACTCGCTCGAGTCCTGGACCGCCATCCCCTACAACGAGCGCACGCCGCGGCCCACCAACCCCATCAACCGGCCCGCCTACCAGGGCGCCAACCCCATCTCGGATATCTTCTCGCTGCAGGCCCTCCGCAGCACCGTCAAGTACCTCCCCCGCGCCGTCCGCGACCCGGACGACTTCGAGGCCCAGTCCCAGATGCTCCTGGCCGCCACCCTGGCCGGCGTCGGGTTCGGGAACGCCGGCGTCCACCTGTGCCACGGCATGAGCTACCCCATCTCCAGCCAGAACCCGGGCTACAAGCATGCGGGATATGACGTGGACTACCCGATTATCCCGCACGGCGTGTCGGTGGCCGTCACCGCGCCTGCTGTGTTCCGCTTCACGGCCGCCTCGAACCCGGACCGGCATCTGGCTGCCGCGGAGGCCTTTGGCGTGGATATCTCGAACGTCAAGCGCGAGAGCGCCGGCGAGGTCCTCGGCGAGGCCCTGGCCAAGTTTCTGGCGGAGCTGGGCGACCAGCCGCGCGGGCTGAAGGATCTGGGCTTCAAGCGTTCGGATATCGACTCCTTGGTTGAGGGGACGATCCCGCAGCAGCGCGTGTTGATGTTGGCGCCGAATCTGAGTGCGGAGCTGGAACGGGAGAGGGAGGAGCTGAGGGGGTTACTCGAGCAGTCGATGGAATATTAGTTTAGGTAACAAACAAACAAACAATGCATTCTGTATCAACCAAACGCCTACTCCGTAATTATGCAGTATGATACACTCTATTTGCATCAATCCTCGCAGATGATCCTCAACCCAATCACCCCCATCGAGGACGCCACCCGGTCCAGCCAGGTGACAGGCAAAGCCTCGCTCGACGCACTCGACACCCCACGTTGAAATTCAGACTCCAAGCGGAACTTCCGTCCTCGTGCTCGTCCAACCCGAAGCCAAACCAGCAGGCTCTGCAGCGCAGCCACCAGATCCTCCGCTCCTTGGAGCAGGAGTCCCGGCCCTGTCTCCCGGCCAGCATCTCCACCCCCCAGCACCCCCCGCAACTCCTGAACCAGACGAACCAGCCGGCGCCTCGTCGCCCGCACCCTGGCGACTAGCCCATCATCCACCTCCTCGCCCCCACCATCACCCTCACCCTCACCCTCAGGCACGCCCGAGCGACCCTCCCGGGGGTCCTCCGGCAATGCCTCCGCAAAATACCGCGGACACCGCACGACCTCCATCCAGATCCGCTCACACACATCCACCACCCTGCCCTGCGGCCCCGCCTTGCGCGCATCCTCGGCGCGGATGCGTCCCGCAAACCGCAGCCACGGCTCCTCGTCCAGGAAGCACGCGCGCCCCTCGTAGATGGCCGTCGCGACGAGGAATCCGCGGAAGGCGATGTAGCAGCCGCGAGCGAAGCCGGGGCCTTCACTGCCCGCGCTCGCTTGTTGTTGTTGTTCGTCGTCGTCGTCGTTGTCGTCGGTGTCGGAGTCGGCTTCGACAGGCCCCCTCGCCAGCATAATCCTCCGGACACCATCGACATGCACCACAAACGCGTCCGGCGACGTCCGCGCGTACATCTCGTACACGGCGAGCATCATGATCGTGGCGAGGAGCGGGGCGGACAATGCAGCGGGCGAGTGCAGTGCCGCGACAACATGCGTAAGTGCGTGCGAGTACAGCTGGCGGCTGCGGCGCGTGTGCTGGGCTGGATCGGATGAGAACTGCGCGGTGTAGATGGATGTGAGACAGGCGAGGGTGGCGGCGAGGTAGGGGGTTGCGCCGGAGGCGTAGGAGGAGGCGACGTGCGCCAGGAAGTCGGGGCGGTTGTGGGCGCGAAAGATGTTGGAGGTGTACAGGGTGGGGAAGGCGGAGTGGAGGAAGGAGGCGAAGAGGTGTGGTTGTTGCATTTGCAGCTGCATTTGCTGTTGGAGGTGGGCTTGGGATTGCGACGAGCAGGAGTCCTCTGAACGGGTCTGGCGCATCATCGCGAGGGCGTTGTTGCGCACGGCAGCTGCAGCTGCCGCTGCGTCTGCGTCTGCGTCTGCGGTTGTCTCTGGAGGTCTGCGAGACTGGGACCGGGACTGGTGCCGGCGTTGGAGGGCTGGTCCTTCATCTTGGAAGCGAAAAGTGCGACGGTAGCCTGGACAGGGGCGACCGTATTTCCGGCATTGCGAGCATTGGGGGACGGCCTCGTCGCACTGGTTTGTCAGTCGTTGATAAGAGAGTGGGAGTAGAGACACCGACCTTGATGCGTCTTTCGCGGCACCGAGCGCAGCCTGTGCTATGAGGGACTCCGACCATGGTATCTTACAGTCCAGCCAGTTGGTATCTTACAGTCACGGCCAGCGTGGGTCAACAGTGTTGACAAACGGTCTATAAACCTAAACGGAAACGCTTGCAAGACGACAAGAAAGGAATGTGGTGAAGGAGTGTGTGTGTATGTGTGTGACTTGACAAACTCAATCACATCGAGACGAGCGACCTTTTCTATCCCTAACACATCCCACCAGCTCAACAGGATGCAGAGAGGCCCCCAATCGGGTGAACTAAGTACGGCACCACACCGAATGATGGCGTCCAGACTGGCATCTCCAGTCCGAGGACAGACCGTTAACCTTTTTTTGGATCTGCATCTCGACCGGACTGTTGAGCTATGATGATCCTGCAAGGGCCACGAGGGTGCCATGCTATGGCCCGTGGCCCCCACGGTTCTTGACGTCGTCTCATGAAGCAGATTCATCCGGATACTCTAGAGTCTCGTAAAACGTCATGACGCTGAGGAGCTAGACTGACTCGATGGCTGTCATGGTCTGTAGCGGACTCTGGTATAATTATCCATCACGAACGAATAGCTGCCCAGCAAGCATGGGGGCCATGACAGAGAATCAAGATGAGGTCAAAGTGAAGTCAAACTCTCAAACGGTAGCTTGATGGAATCCGAACTGAACAGGTCGGCTAGTGATTAAAATAGCATCATCCTCGTAGTGGATGCTTGATGATTGGCGCGTTTCTCGGTGCGGCTCCCGTTAGACGGGATATACGAGCCAGCATCGACTCTCTGGTGATCTGTGCTTTGCCCTGCACTCGTGAAACAATCGCCAAAGGTCAAATGTCATCAAGGTCAAACACGACAAGGACCCACTCGACTCGTGTTCGTCAATATCCTGAAAGTGCTCCTCGTATGAGGAATGGGAGAGTGCTTACCCTCTAATATTAACAGCTCTGCTCGTGGCCATATTGCCTAGAATAGCAACAAGGATGACGAGATGGCCTGCCGCCCCGCATATCTTCATACTTTCATTCTCTCTAGTGGAACCTGCAAAAGGAAATAACTTGATCGGTCATTCTCTTGGTCAAACTCAAAAAAGACTTACCAGGTTAGGAAACCGGGGCGCTCTCGAATGGATAATGCCCCGTTAGTCCGTAATATATGTCATCTATCTCATCTCGTCAAGTCTCCAAAAAGGATCAATCAATTCAGCGGCAAGCTCGACAAAGACAAAACATCAGATGACACGAGATAAAAGCAAAGAAGGATAATCTTCCTCATTGTGCAAGATGATAATATACATCCACGAATCACACCGACGCCATCCCGCAACCCCGCAGTCTCATAATGTACTCACCTTATGCAGATTAACCAGCCTGTCAATGATTGGCACGCGGAACAGACCCAGACATGAGCCTGCAGTAGGATATGATGTTATTGCCTCAAGGTATACCTCTCGTTATTGGGTTACAGACTAGTGGCGTCTCTAGCCCAATTGCTGTCAATGTATCAGGTTGGCTAATGCATTCCCTCGACAGAGTCAATTGATTCACAGTTTCATTGATGTGGACAAATATATAAAGCTCTAAAGTTCTAACCACTGGTCTTTCTCATGACCATCATTGACGAGTCAATCCGGCCGAACGATCATGCCCTCTGCCAAACAGCCCACTCCCAAAGTCCTCGTGCCGGAAAAACTCTCGCCAGATGGATTGGCTCTCTTGCGTGCGTCGCTCGAAGTAGACGAGCGAAAGGGTCTCGATGCGGATGAGCTTCTTCAGATCATTCCCGAATATGACGCTTTGGTCGTCCGCTCCGAAACCAAAGTCACGGCCAGTCTCCTTCGAGCCGCCAAACAACTCAAGGTAGTTGCTAGAGCGGGAGTAGGAGTGGACAATGTGGGTGAGTTCGGCCGGGCTTGAACCATTGATCAACGAATATTGACACACTGGCGGCTTCAGACGTCGAGGAAGCCACCAAGCTAGGCATCGTCGTCGTCAACTCGCCGTCGGGCAACATCGGGGCTGCCGCAGAACATACCATTGCCCTGCTGATGGCCATGGCGCGGAACATCCCCGAGGCCTGCAGCAGTCTGAAGAGCGGCAAATGGGAACGCAGCAAGTTTGTCGGAGTCGAGGTGAAGGGCAAGACGTTGTCGATCATCGGATTGGGGAAAGGTGAGCTTCTTTCATCTTGGGAGGAACGGGTTGGGAACACATCATCGCATAACTGTTTCTCCTACGAATGGTCGAGTGTTATGGCTGACTGACGACAGTCGGGTTGACGGTCGCACGGCTGGCCAAAGGGCTAGGGATGAACGTCAACGCGCTCGATCCGTATGCGTCTCCTGCCGTCGCAGCGTCCGCGTCCGTCACCCTGGTCTCGTCGCTGTCGGAGCTACTACCCACGGCCGACTTTCTCACCATCCACACGCCGCTGATCGCGTCAACCAAGGGGATGATCTCGACGGCCGAGCTCGCGCAGATGAAACCCGGCTCTCGGATCCTCAACGTCGCTCGCGGCGGCACCATCGACGAAGCCGCCCTCCTTGAGGCCCTGGAGTCGAACCACCTGGCCGCCGCCGCCATCGATGTCTTCACGTCTGAACCTCCCCAGCCAGACTCGACGGCCGGTCGATTGATCGCCCATCCCCGCGCGGTCGCCACCCCGCACCTCGGCGCCTCCACGGTCGAAGCTCAGGAAAATGTCTCCATCGACGTCTGCGAGCAGGTCCTCCAGATCCTGAACGGCTCCCTCCCGCGGAGCGCAGTCAACGCGCCCCTCATCCTGCCCGACGAATACCGCAAGCTGCAGCCGTTTGTCCGGCTCGTCGAGAAAATGGGTAGCCTGTACACGCAGCACTACGCCTCGGCCGTGGGCGGGTCGATGACGCGCAACACATTTGATCTCATCTACCACGGCGAGGTGGCGGGCATCAGCAACACGCGACCGCTGTTCGCTGCGCTGATCAAGGGCCTCCTGGCCCCGATCAGCAGCTCTGAGGGCATCAACATCAACATCGTCAATGCGGAGCTGGTCGCGCGCGAACGCGGCATCTTCGTCAACGAGCAGCACTCGCGCGATCCGGCGGATCATTCGTACTCGTCGCTTGTGACGCTGGTCGCGAGGCCGCCTTCGCGCGCCTCGTCTCGTGCGCCTGCGCCGGAGGCTACCGCTCAGACCGGAGTCGGGCCAGTGCCGCAAGACCAGCGCATCATCTCCGGGACATGCAGTGGCGACCAGCCGTTGATTAATCGGCTGGGCCGGTTCGAGACCTCGTTTGTCCCGGAGGGAACGCTGCTCATTTGCGAGAACTACGATTCTCCAGGGAAGATTGGGGCGGTGGGCAGTCTTCTGGGGCAGGAAGGGGTCAACATCAACTTTATGACCGTCGCTCCGGTCTCGAGGAAGTTTGTCTCTGTACCTGACGGAGACTTGAAGCACGAGGCGTTGATGATCCTGGGGATCGACAAGGTGGTGGAGCAGCGAGTGGCCGATGGGCTCGTCAAGGGGGGAGGAGTGTTGAGCGCGAGTGTTATTTCTCTGTGACAGAATTCTGTCCTGTGAATGTGATCAGTAGACCAGGTTTAATCTATTGTGGCAGATGACCTGTCAGTGTTGATCTGCAGTCCCCGCATTATGCATATCACATTCACGTCTAGTCCCATACATACCAGAGGTAGGTAGGTAGGTAGATAAACAATGCATTCCCTTCATCATGAATCACATCAACACCAACATCAAGAATAGCCACATTATCATCTCATAGCCATAAATCATAGCCATAATCAAAATGAAAACACCACTCATCTTTACCCTGTTATCAATAACACTCACCTCCGCAAAAACCCTCCAATCCCCCCTCGACCACCCCAACAACAACAATGCTGTCAACAACAACAACATGAGAACAGGAAACCCCGTCATCCCAGGCTGGTATGCCGACCCCGAAGCTCGCATCTTCAGCCAACGGTACTGGATCTACCCAACCTACTCGGCCGCCTACGAAACCCAAACCTTCTTCGACGCCTTCTCCTCCCCGGACCTCCTCACCTGGACCAAACACCCCCGCATTTTGGATTTCGGGAACATCCCCTGGACCACCAACCGCGCTGCCTGGGCGCCGTCCGTGATTCGTCGGCCTGCCTCTCCGAGAACCAATGACAGTACTGCCACAGAACAAGAGGAGAATGGGCATGGGTACGATTACTTTATGTACTTCTCCGCAGGCGACGGGGCAGGGATCGGGGTTGCGAAATCAACAACAGGCAGACCGGAGGGCCCCTATGCAGACGTTCTTGGGAAACCGCTGATCCCGAACACGGTGTTTGGCGCGGAGCCGATCGACCCGCAGGTGTTCATCGATGATGATGAGCGCGTGTGGTTGTATTTCGGGGGGTGGAGCCATGCGGTGGTGGTTGAGCTGGGGAGTGATATGGTGAGTCTGAAGGGGGAGTATTTGGAGCTTACACCCAAGGGGTATGTCGAGGGCCCGTGGATGATGAAGAGGGAGGGGGTGTATTATTTTATGTTTAGTGTGGGGGGGTATGTTGTTCCCCTAACTCTCTCTCTCTCTCGCCTTGGTCGAGGGCAAAGTGCTAATGGTGGCTGATAGATGGGGAGATGACTCCTACGGGGTGAGTTATGTTACTGGGGAGTCGCCGACGGGCCCATTCACGACGGAGCCTGTCAAGATCCTCTCCGGCAATGCGACGGTCGGCACGGGGACGGGCCATAACAGTGTTTTTACGCCGGATGGACAGGACTACTATATCGTCTACCATCGGCGGCTGCTGAACGACACCGAGCGCGACCACCGCGTGGTCTGCATCGATCGGATGGAGTTTGATGCAGAGGGGAATATCCTGCCGGTGGTGATTACGACCGAGGGCGTATATGCAAGGGCATTGAATCAGCCAAAGGCTGTCTAGCGTACATGCTTGAGCTTCAGGAGTATCAATAGTGCTATCGTATACCTTTTTCAACGCCAAACTCCAGTAATGCATGGGTATCATATCAAAACATCGAGCTGCGCTTTTTATGCAACTTTGAATCGTCCGATGACCGTCGGAACCCAAAGAAACTACTCTTTTTCGGCTGCAGCTGCCCCTGTCCTGGTCCCTGCCCCTGCGGCCGCGGCGACTGCCCGAAATGCACCGTCGATAGCGGTCGAGGCGGAGGCACAGAGCCAGGCGCATGTGGCCGCGAAGTCGGAACGGGCCCCGGCATCAGATGCGACATGGACGGTGCCTGCTGGTGGTAGTAGTATCGTGGATGCGGTCGCGGAGGGGGTTGCGGTTGCTGCTGCCGAGGAGGTGGTGGAGGACGCGACGGCTGCGCAGGAGGACGCGCAAGGTTCACGGCGCTGGCGCGCACCTGCTGCTCCTCGTGGCCGTAGATCTTCTGCAGTCGGCGAGTCTCCTTGTCGATTTCGGCCTGACGCCTGCGGCGAGCCTTCTCCTCTTCTTCTAGCCTTTTCTTGGTCCGTTTCTCCTCCTCCTTGCGCGAAACTTCTGGCTTTTTCCTCTGTTGTTGCGTTGGAGCTGGGGGTTGAGTCTCTGCTGGACGCGGGGGTGCAGGTGCAGGCTGTTTGCCGTTGGTTCTTGTATTCGAGGCTACCGGCGTTGGCTTCTGACTGTGCGAGCCTGTACCATTCTGTACCGCTGTGCTGGCACTGACCTTGACAGTACTGCCTGTCGGACCCGCCACAGGCTTCTTTGCCACCTCCTCCCTTACAATCCGAAACGCGTCCTTCATCGGGGTGAAGTAGACATCGCGAATGCTCACTGCTCCCAGCAAGAGCACAACCTCCAGCCCCTTAAAATCCTCCATCTCAACCCGGTACAGGTTCGGCTCGTAAAGCGTCAACTCCCGCAGCGCCTTGAAGATCGACAGCGTGATATCCGGCTCCTTGCTCTTCGCTTTCCCTTCGGGCAGCGTCGACGTCTTCCCAGACAGCAGACACGTCAGGTCCTTGGACAACTTGCTATCCTTGCGCCAGCTGAACCGGAGTTTCGGGGTCGTGTCCGCCAGGGCGGGGTCGGTCTGCGTGCGGTCCAGCGTCGAGGCCGACGGCTGCCGGAAGGTGTGCTGCGGCATTTCGAATTCCCACGTTGCCGGCGTATTCCACGTCTTGTGCTTGTAGCGGATCGTCACCTGCTGGTCGGGGTTGTACAGGTGGACGATGAACTGCGAGGGGAGAATGGGTTCTGGGGGAGGCGTGACCCCGCCGTTCAGGCGGATCGCCTCGGCGGATAGACTGGGTTGCGTCCATTCCGGGATAATTAGGATCTCGCCGTAGACAACATCTGGCACGAAAGGATCACAGAGCGCCACGGCATAGCGGTTCTTGGAGGAGGGGGAGGAAGGATCGGGGTAGCGAAGGGTGTAGGCAGGTTCGGGGTCGTTGCCGTGCTGGCAGAGATAAATAGTCCAGAGGTGCTTTTGTTGGTCATTCGGTTTGAGATAGAAGGCTGTCGTCGTCGTCGTAGTCAGTCAGTCAGCAGTCAGTCTTCAGGGTATTTTTGGTGAACGAGAGAATGACGTACTGGGAAGGTTCTCGTCAAGCATTGTGCGTGGATATCGCTACGGCGGGAACATTCAATGAGAACCGCCGGTCTATAGCAATTGAGACAATTCAGCCATTGATTAATGGCCACGCTTTGAAATATACCACCGATGGACAGAGGAAGAGGAGTTGTTTCAGAGGTGCCTGGTGATAAGCCTAAGGCTTGCTGCTCTGGGGTACATAGCCGCTATTGCGCCACTGGATCCGCACCTAAAAATAGCGCGTGTCCATCTTATTCTTTCCTTGTCTTTTCCTTGTCTCCCGATAGCTTATACCTAGTTACTATGCAGTTATCCGAGCTTAGTGAACGTTTCAAGTCGCCAAATAGGCAGATATATTTCCCAGCTCTATCTAACTCTATCTAAGTCTTGTCTGCAGTTAGTAATTGTTACTATCCGAAGCATTGACTGAACGATGATAGGCTGGTTTGTCTAAACTACCGTCTCACCATAGTCCATTCGTGTGTCATATCTGCCAGTGAAATAGGCATGGACTCAACTCAATTCGATGGGTTGCGATCCAGCCTTTTGCGCAAATCAACAATTTATACACTAATCTGCCAGATCCTCTGACCCTATGGAACTGAATCTGAACATGGACTATCCAACTCTACTAGCCGTCAGAACATTCTGACGATTCAGCGAGACAGCACCAGCAGAATGAAATAACAAGCCTGCTCGCAAATATGATTGCGACAGAATGGATATACATACGAAAAAAAAAACAAAAGTCATGAATCTCGTTGCCTTGAGCACTGCCTCGAAGGATGGGGGTGAAATCTGCCCCGTGGATCAGTCCACCGCTACAGAACAGGGCCGTGCAATTGGGCTATTCTGTCGTGCTCTGCCTCTTGGCTCAGATTAAAGGCAGACTAGGTGGAGGCTGGCGCACCTAACCTTGTTTATGCGTTTACTGGAGTTACAGTGAGCCTGGGCCAGGTTCTGAAGGACTGAATTGACTGAGATGTATTGGCAGAGGGTCTCATTATTGAGCGAATAGTTGGTCGATGAAGTACATGATCTTTCCACACTGGTTGTCCTGATTTCCTGTCTTCCAGCCCTGATGGATCTCGCGTCACTCCCTCAGACCAATTCATTCCATCATCATAGGGTTGTGACGTAGCGAGATGGTTGGACGCGTGGCCTGGGATGAATTAGCATTTGTGCAGTCTCTGGTCTTGGTCTCTCAAGGACGTACCGCATACAAACAAGGTCAATCGGAATGAATTCCCGCTGGTCATGACAGTGTATCTGGAACCTGGTCAGTCTCGTCCACACTGGGGAGTGGTATCCTAACCTTGCGGTAGAGGAATAGTGCTCTGTACTCTCCTGTTTCAGCTCCTCGTTGCCCTTCGTTCGAACCAGCCTCTGACGGTATCGTGGCGTTTGTCTGTATCCAACATGCCTGGCATCAGTAACATCTTGCTCATGTAAATGGGTAAGGACGAACTTGTTCCGCGAGCGTGTCGCGTCTGTTGAACCGGACTCACATGGCCGTGGAGAAATAAATAGAAGCAAAGCCTATACCCCGTAAGCCATACACCAGTGGATCCGGACTTACCTGAAGTCGAGTCTCGAGCCAAGTCCCTAAGCTTGAACGATTTCGTCAAACCGCCGAGTTGGTATCACTGATCAGGATTAGCTGTCGTCTTTTACAGGAAGGGTTCGAGACTTAGGGAAGACCTTGGTATATTGGCGTTGTTATCTCGCCGATTCAACATATATATTCCATTCTGGAAAGTTGATAGCGATCCTGTTTCCGTTAGCAACTGACGGGTTGGGGTCACTTACTAGCACTTAAGCTGATATCCTGAAGATCGATCACAGATATGCAGAATCCTGAGAACCAGACATTAGTATTTGCCTGCCTTTCCGGAACGGGCTCAGCTGTTCGATACTGCTCTGATAGAGTAAAGCTGACTGCGTCCGTCTCTGAGGTGATCCGGAGAAGGCTCGGCTGATTGCAAAAGGTACGCAGCAAT